GATGTAAGATGCGAGGACAGTCACTTCTGGTTCTGTTACTGATGTCTCATATGAAAAGTAAACATAGAAAAGAACAACAATAGTGTAACCCAGTATATTCAACGATCTACTTTCTATAGTGATAAAAATAAACTCACAAAGGGAGAGCCTCCAATCGACTCTTAGCACTTAGAACGATATGATTCCTGCTCATGGATTTGTCTTTAGGTGTCCTTTATGAATGCTCACAGTGCAACCGGCATATTCAATGAATAAAACAAATATAGTGCTCTCTGCTTGAAATTTGAACAATTGTAAATTCAGAATGAAATCTTACATTTTTAAGAACACCATATCCTCTAGGACATCAGCTTGGGTGGATATATGTAGGTAGATGCAGCAGCGTTTGTAGAAACTCCTCTGGATAAATAAGATTTCAGGATAAATTCAGGATAAAATGCAGGACCAAATGCGATAAATAAAAATACAAAAACGTTTTTGATGGTAAAACCTATTTTATTGTGATATTCCATAAAAAAAATAGATGAATCAAATAAAAAAAAGAGTCCTTCTATACAATCACAATGCTGTTAGTTTTCACCATTATTCTTTTTCAAGTGATAAATGCTGAACCTTTATATGCACCTTTTTAATCAAAACTGTACAAAACTGTACATGATAAAATTACCTTGCAAATGTTTGAAATGTAAAGAATCCAATTTTTGAATAAAAAAGGTTTTAAATATCTCATGTTCAGGACATGCAGAGTAGGCATGAGTGAACAGGCAAGGGGCAAGTGGATAACCTTATTTTTTTCTCTAATTTAAACACCACTGACAGGTGGTCACTATAAATTGTATTTCCCTTCTGGTCCTCATAGCCAGTGAAATATTAAAATTATAGGTTATATATAGAAATCTGAAACTGAGTATCTTATTTAAATGTGAATTCCATTGACACCAAACATTATTGATTCCTCTTTTTGAATCCTAAGTATTCTTGCTCTAAACTTATGATTGGAAGGGATGTGACATCTTTGATGAGCACGATTCCTATAGTATAGCCTACCATGAGACTTTCCCTAGTGTTCAAACCTTTAAGAAGCCCCTTAAAACGCATCTCTTAAAACAAGCCTTTAGCCTATCTGGGTAATGTGCATTCCTCTAATGGTAATGGTGCCAGGAGTGTCCAGAAACCCCTCCATTTTAAGTAGTCAAAACATTTTTGAATAGTTTAACTTATTACATGGTCATCTGCTGGGTATTGTTCCTCACATCCACAATTGACACTGGAGAGCTGGAAGCTCCTAAGTAGTGCAGGCCAATCAGGTGATGCTTTCAACCCATGTGAGCTATAGTAGTTATGGTGTTTGGAATATACCTTTAAATCGACCCAAATAAATATAAACATTTGACCTCAAAAAGTAAAGATGCAGAGAATAATAGAGTAAGAATAGGCAAACTTAAGCTTGCATATGCTGTCCTGAGGAAAGTCCTGGCACTGGAACGTTGACGCTTTCATGCATCGTGTCTGTAGTTTTTAACATGTAACAATAAAAGTTAAGTCTTAAAAGACTGTGTGTGCAGACTATCCTTCCTATTTGTATAGGTATATATATATATATATATATATATATATATATATACACACACACACACACACAAACATACATATATATATAATACACATACATACACATGTTTACCTATAGGCTAAGTGATAAAATATGTTTTGACTCTATTTTCTTTAAATGAATTGATATAAAATATAAATATAATATAATATATGTGATATATAATTATATCACATAACAGGTACTAGAGTTAATCACAATCTATTTGTCACATTAAACAATGTGCAGTGCCGTGCAGCAATAAAACCAATAATTGACTTTAAATTGTTATCATTTTTCATGTAAGTAATATACCCTTGTCATATTAATTCCCTGCTCTGTACAAAAAGATAGAATTTTTAAATGTTGTGTAAATGTCACCCTTTTTAAAAACATTTCATTATTGGCTTTCTATTCCATCTTTGACACAGTTTAATATGAGTTTCAAACAGGAATGTATTCTTGTTATTTAAAAAGTTGGATACAATATTTAGAAAACAAAGACGTAGAAATAGCAGAGAAACAAAGGAGACAGCTGGTGTATAAACAGGTCAATTTTTCTCATTAAGGTGCCGTGCTGTGCACAGCCTGCCCTTCTCACCTGCTCCAAGAAGGATAGAAAAGTCTTATCAGGTAAGGTCATTGTGAGTGGCAGTTTTGCAATTTCTGTTTCACCCTTCATTAATCCACAGGGATAAATGCTAGGAATCTATGACTGATTCAGCTAGTATCTTACTATCAAAGAAGTGTATTTTTTTATAAATTCTCAAAGATGCAGTAATGTTTCCTTTTACTACATATCAGTCTTACACAAGGTCAAATATTGCAAATAAACACCTTCCTCTGTCTTGGATCCCTGCGTAGCACTGATATCTCATTTTGCAATTGCTTTATCTGTGCAATTAGCTCACAAGCGATTCCCGGTGATGTCATACGCACTGTACTAAGATTATAGACTTAACATTTATTCTCTCACCTAACAGCATGAACATAGTGGATTCAATTAATTCATACCTTGAAGGCTATACAAGAAGTGCAATTCTGCTATTTACAGAAAAGCCTGTTGCTTGCTTCAACAATTATTTTTAATTTCCTTCCATCTTTAGATATTTGCACCCTGAATTCCTTCAGAAAGTAAGACCAATATTTTACACTCTCTAGCCACCCTCCCACCCCTCCTCCCAACCACTCTTTCTCTGCTATCATTTATAGTACGCTTCTTTAGCTATTCTTAACTATTTAAAAAGGCACTGTAAGCGCTAAACCAGTATTAGTTTAATAAAGTGGTTTTGATACAAAGATAATTACCCATTTTGTCTAACTACTCAATGTTCTGCCATTTAGAAGTTAACTCATTTTATTTATGTAGTTATAGCCTCATATCCCCTGGATATTAGCTTCAAGTCTGTGCTTAAAGTTCAATTAACAAAGAAGGAGATAACTTAAAAGTAAACACCCTGCCTTGTAAGATCTGATTGAAAACACACACATTTTTTTCATAGAGGCTATGTGAATCAAAAAGCCCGTAAAATAAAAAAAAATAGATAAAATGGTAATTTAATATGCTATTTTTTTCACAGTGAACAGGGTAATTGTTAAATTAAAATGTATTAAGTAATCATTATGGACAAACAGAAGTTCAAAATGTAAAAATGCTTGGAAAGAGTGACTGAAAGTTAATTATTTCAGGTGTGTGTATATTCGTCTCTCTGCTTACTAAAATCCAGTGACAACCATCATGCAAATAGTTGTCAAATGGACAATTTAGCTTAATTTAATTTAACTGATTCTTAAGTTACGCTGCTTAAAGAAAAAAAAAATGCTTGCAGTTTGGGCCATTTAACAAGACTTTGCTAGACATAGTGAGTTTCCAACATGGTGTTGGAATAGCCACATCCCTGGCATCTATTTTTAGTAAAAGTGAAATGAAGCTGAAGGGCAAATAACATAATCTTTAATATCATGAAAGCTAAGGAGCTACAACGCTTCTCTTTAAAGAAATCCCTCTCATATGCAGAACATATAAGCAAGGGCATCCTTATCCTAAGTTAGCCAAGTGATCATCTGGAAGAGAAAGTGGAGGAGATCATAGACGGACATAATACATTTGTTGATGACCCTTGATGACCCTTGATGTCAAAACTATATCTGCCAAGATTACAGATCCAGAGAATTGCTAAAATCAGCTTTTGGTGCATCACAAAAACGTATGTTAAATCTAAATTCCAAAATACAAAGAGCTAATTCCTAAAATTTTTCAAAATTATTAGACATTGTCATGCAACTATACACTTACTTATTGTTGATCAATAAAAATCAGTACTAATTTGTTTGCTGTTTACGTTTTTGGTTTCCTTATTGACCTATGAAGACTCTTTGTACTAATGTCACCAGGCCCCCTAAAACCTCCCAGAAAAGTAATGACTATAGAGCTATGATTTTGAGATACGGTTCATAATATTATATATAGAGTTGAGCATACACCTGGATTATCGGGTCCGGCGGGTTCAGCCGAACTTTGAAAAAAAGTCTGGGTTCGTGCTTGAACTTGACCCCGAACTTGACCCCGAACTTGACCCCGAACCCATACCCCATTGAAATCAATGGGGACATGAACTTTTGGCCACAAAAATGCCTCTAAAAAACTCCTGGAAAGAGCTAGAGAGCTGCAAAAGCAAATAAAATGGGGGTAAGAGTAGGATAAATGCCCTGCAAACAAATGTGGATATGGAAATCACTTAAAATAACATAAAAATTAAAAACACAGCTGAGCCATAAAATAGCAATAGATTTTAGCTTTGGAAGAACATAAATCAAAATCTAAAGCATGACTGTCAGGAGGATCACCAGAATTATCAATTTGAGAGAGAGTTGGAGTGCAGGGTATTCTCTTTCATTGTTCAAACTGAGCTCAACTCGTGATGCATGGAGAAAAAGCCTTCACAAGCCTCTGCTATTGCGTACATAGTTTCTACTACGTGACACATAGGTTGAGGAGGCGGTGGAGGTGGATGCAGCATTGGAGGAGGAGGTAGCCAACACTGTTTATATATATATATATATATATATATTATTTTAATTGGGGTAGCCCCCAAAATATTGAGACATACAAAAAAAGAAACATTTGTGTCCTGCGGTGCATTTCTTGCAGTCCTGTAATATGTACCTAGTTTATACTAAATGACCCATAGGTTGAGGAGGCGGTGACCTTGGCGGAGGAGGAGGAGGAGGAGGAAGTCAACACTGTTTTTTATGTTTGTTTTTTTTTTTTAATTGTGGTAGGCCACAAAATATTGGGGCATACAACAAAAGAAACATTTGCGGCCTGCGGTGCATTTCTTGCAGTCCTGATGCATGGAGAAATGCTCAACTCCTGATACATGGAGAAAAGGCCTTCACAAGCCTCTGCTAATGTGTACCTAGTTTATACAAAGTGACACATAGGTTGAGGAGGCGGTGACTGTGGCGGTGGAGGAGGAAGCAGTGGTGGAGGAGGAGGATAAGGTAGTCAACACTGTTTTATATATGTATATATATTTATATATATATTTTAATTGGGGTAGTTCCCAAAATATTGGGACATATAAAAAAAGATAACTCTGTTCCGCAGAGTAGCTGTTGACATTATAGTTGCGCAGGCACTTTGTTGACTCTAGAGAACCTCGGACCAATCGCACATCCCCGTGCCAGTTTCTGCGCCTACCATGGTGACCACGGGTAACAGGGAATCAGGGTTCCATTCCGTACAGGGACCCTGAGAAACGGCTGCCACATCTAAGGAAGACAGCAGGCACACAAATGACTCACTCCCGACTCGGGAAGGTAGTGACGACAAATAACAATACAGGACTCTTTAGAGGCCCTGTAATTGTAATGAGTCCACTTGAAATCCTTTAACTCTGATCAATTGGAGGGAAGTCTGGTGCAGAGCCACTGACCCATGCGTGCTGCAGCTGAAACTCCACTATCACCTGCTGCTGCTCGCACAGTCTCATGAGGCGGTGAGCGGGAAGGCCGAAGTTACGCTGCAGCGCAGACAGGCAAGCAGCAGCAGGGTGACAATGCCAAAAGCGAGCACAGCCTCTACAGTGAATGTCACATCCTGTTCCAAGTTGCAGATCAGTCTGGTGATGGCTTCTGGTATCAAGTACTCTTTTTACTGAAACTGCATCAGGGTCCTGGTATGTGGCCGCACAAACGCTGGTGCCCAACACCAGGAGGCGTGCGGTTACCCTGCACCAGACCCTGCTAATCCATTCCACACTGTGACTCTTAACTTCAATATCAGGCATACTGGTTCCTGGTCGTCCAACCCCTGCCCAGAAAGTGTCTGGGTCCTGGTCACCGGACAGCCCATCTCACTGTGAAACTATGAATGGATCGTTAAATCTGGTACGAACCCGAACTTTGCAAAGGACATATGGAAATTGTTTTAGAATTTCCTTCAGGCAACAGTTTTCCCTATAAACTGACCTCTCAGTTTGACTTGTGAGGGTATTGCCCCAGAATTACAATATTGTTGAAGTACCTTTTAGCTATTGATCACTGGTTTAAATATAGTAGCTTGTTATCTGGTAGTTTCTAGTGTAGAAAATATCAATCTGTTTTCTATCACTTAGATCTGTGTAACAAGTGTTGTAGGTGTGAAACAATATTACAAGTGACCGATATAGTAAATTCGAATCAAAGTTACGCTTCGATTTGACTCTCAGATATGAAGTAAACACCTGAAATTATACTATTTAGCACCAAAAAAAAATAACTTTTTAAAACTTCAATGTAAGCAGCAGATTAGCAGCAAAACAATTCGAATGTTTACAACTGCGCAGTAAGCGCACTATTTGACGCTTATATTTGACTCTCAGATATGATGTGCACCGCAGGCCGCAAATGTAATATTTAGCAGATTAGCAGCAAAACAATTAGAATGTTTACAAATGTACAGTAAGCACACTATTAGACGCTTCTATTTGACTCTCATATTTGAAGAGCAAGCCACAAAATGTACTATTTAGCAGATTAACACCCAGAAAATAAGAATGTTTACCACTGCACTGTAAGCACACTATTAGACGCTTCGATTTGACTCTCAGATATGAAGTGCAAGCAGGCCCCAAAATGTAAAAGTTAGCAGATCAGCAGCAAAACAATTAGAATGATTACAACTGCACAGTAAGCACACTATTAGACGCTTTGACTCTCAGATAGGAAGTGCAAAGCAGGCCCCAAAATGTAAAAGTTAGCAGATCAGCAGCAAAACAATTAGAATGATTACAACTGCGCTGTAAGCGCACTATTAGACACTTCTATTTGACTCTCAGATATGAAGAGCACACCCCAAAATGTACTATTTAGCAGTTTAGCACCAAAACAATTAGAATGTTTACAATCGCGCTGTAACCGCAGTATTTGACGCTTCTATTTGACTTTCAAATTAGAAGTGCACGCCCCAAAATGTACTATTTAGCAGATTAACACCCATAAAATTATAATGTTTACCACTGCGCTGTAAGCACACTATTAGACGCTTCTATTTGACTCTCAGATATGAAGTTCCCCCTACTAAAATACTATTTAGCAGTTTAGGACCCAAAAATGTTAAGTTTTAAAACTGCAATGTGACAGCAATGTTTACAATTGCGCTGTAACCGCAGTATTAGACGCTTCTTTTTGACTCTCAGATATGAAGTGCACGCCCCAAAACGTACTATTTAGCAGATTAGCACCCATAAAATAAGAATGTTTACCACTGCGCTGTAAGCACACTATTAGACAATTCTATTTGACTCTCAGATATGAAGTGCACCCCACTAATGTACTACCCCACTAATGTACTATATAGCACCAAAAAAAATAACTTTTTTTTTTTAATTCTTTATTTGTCGAATCATGCATGAGGTTTATACAAAAAGGAAGGTGTCATACATACTTTTTAGTGGTACAATGGAATGCTTCGTAGCTTACAAACAGTGGAGTTTACTAAGAGCATAGTAATCAGTATCAATGGTTACGTTTTGTCAGGCTGTACAGATTCAGTGTGTGATTGAGTATATTAATGACATTTGTATCAGGAACATAATAGGTAGTGGCAGCATGTACATTTCACTGAGCTGTTCAGATATAACGTGTGATGGAATAGGATAATGACAGTGTGAGTAGGAACATTGCTAGCAGTGTTACCACCCATACCCCATAGAGTTGTATAATTGTGCAGTGGAGTATGTCAATGGCCTTTATATCGAGTTGTGTTCACCCTGTGCTGCAGCCGTTGAAACATTACCCATGTAGAGTGCGTCTGACACTCGCCTTTCACATATGCGTTCCCATGCATGAATTTTTCTTTTTTTGGAGAGAAAAAGAGCAGAGGTAGAAAAAATGAAAGTAAGAAACAAGTGGAAGGGGTGGGGGGAGAGTGAGGGAGGGAGATCCTGTGGTCATCTCGGGCCCCAAGGCAGTATCTGTGTGCGTTAGTCCATCAGCGGTTGATATAGTCTTCCCAGGGTTTCCATGTCTTGAGGAATAGCTGATACGTGTCTCTACATTGTGCAGTTAATTTGTCCATTAGGTGTGTGTCTTTGATGTTGTGTATGACTCTCTCTATCTGTGGCATGTCTACGTGCAGCCATGTCTTTGCCATGGCCCGTCTGGTGGCTAGCTTTATTTTGTTAAGCAGTTTTTGTTCTTTATGCGGAAGGTTGTCTATTGGTCTGGCTATGAGGAAAACCCAGGGTGGATGTATTTGTGTAGTACTTTTGTCAGTAGTTTGGCTATATTTTCCCAGAAGGTTTGTGCCTTTGGGCATGTCCACCACATATGAAGTTATGTACCCTTCTCCCCGCACCCCTTCCAGCAGGTGTCAGTGGTTGTTTTGCCCATTCTGCATTGTTTGACTGGTGTAGTGTACCATCTCATTAAGGTTTTGTAACATTGCTCTTGGTGCAGGATGCTAATGGAAGCCTTCGCAGCTGCCTCCCAAATCTCTTGCCATTCCCCACTCTCTAGTGGTTGTTTGAGGTACACTTCCCATTGTGCTATGTATGTGGGTGTTTGGGCATCATTCATTGGTGCACTTAATTGTATGTAGAGGAGAGTGATGAGGCCGGCACGTGGTCCCTCCCTGACACATAATGTTTCATAGAATGTTACCCTGGACATGGCTGCTGTACGAATTTATGGTTTAGTTACAAACTCTCTTAGTTGTTTGTACCTGAAATAGTCTTTCGTGGTCAGTGGGGCAAGGGTCTTTAGTTCTTCGAATGTTGGGAAACTGCCTGTTCGAAAGAGCTGGTAATAAAGCTGTAGGGCTGTGTTTTCTATATTTCTGTTAACCCTGGAGGGAATGCTTTATTGTGTAGATAGGGGGCTAGGGGTGAGACTGGGTGTGCGAGGGCGTATTTGTGTGCGGTAGAGTCCCAGATCCTGATCGAGTTCAGGATGGCAGGACAGCTAGTGCAGAGTTCCCGTCTGTCCGCTCGAGGTAGCCAGATCCAAAACCGCGGTAGGTCCGTACCCATAAGTAAGATCTCCACGTCTACCCATCTGTGAGTGTCTGGTGGGGAGTGCCACTGTACTATTTGCGCGACTTGGACTGAAAGATAGTAGAGGTAGAGATTGGGGAGTCCCAATCCCCCCCTACTCTTAGGAGTGTAGAGTGTTTGCTGTGGTATTCTGCGAACCAATCACAGTCCAAGCAGAATAGGCGAAACCAAGCCACAGGGAGGCTATGTCAATCGCGGATATGCTGGCCACGTAGAGGCCCTCAACACGTGGCGCCCAGATGGATCAGACTTTGGAGCTTGTGGAGGCAGCGGGTCTGGCCACGACTCAGGGGACACCCCCTGACACCTCCAACGATACAATACTACAATCCATAGTGGAGGTGAAAGGATTCCTGGTGGCGGAAATCACACGCACAGCGGCAGAAGTTAAGGCCGCTATAGGGACCCGCACCACAATCGTGGAACAACGCATGGCCAGAATGGTCAAGGCCCACAATAGCAACACAGCCTTTACCAATGCATTACAGATCCGGATCACTGATCTGGAACTTGAAATAGAAGATATCTCCAACAGAGCACGCCGCAATAACTTGCGCATACGTGAACTACCGGAGACGGTCAGCAACGAGGATCTGGAAATGGAGCTGGTGAGCTGCTTCCGACAGGGCCTGCCCAACATACCCGAGCACATGTGGTGCATTGATAAAGCCCACAGGGCCCTTCGTGCCAAAGGCCCCAACAACAGCCCTCCTAGAGATGTCATCATAAAATGGCACTACTATAAAACAAAAGAAGCTATCCTCAAGTACTGCAGATTGCACCCATACACATGGGAAGGCACAGAACTGCAACTGTACCCAGATGTAGCACCGGCAACACTACAGCGACGGAAGTTGGACTGCTTGGGGTTCTGCTTGGACTGCGATTGGTTAGAGTCTGGGGTCCTTCAGTGTCGGTTGTAGCAGGTTACAGGGCTGTATTACAGGTCTCGGGTGCGGAGCTCTATCTCTAGGTGGCCATCTCGTAGGGCGGTCAAACCACGCCCCCCAAAAAAATTTTCTTTTTAAAACTCCGATGTAACCGCGGTATTTGAAGCTTCTATTTGACTCTTAGATATGAAGTGCACCCTACCCCAATAATGTACTAGTTTGCAGAATTATTTCCTAAGCTGTCCCTATCAGCGGCAGCATCCTCTCCCTACACTAATAAGACCACATGTGACGTGCGGCGCTACGTGACTACTGCTTATATATAGAGGCTGGGTCACATGCTGCACTGGCCAATCACAGCCATGCCATTAGTAGGCATGGCTATGATGGCTTCTAAGGGCACACAAGTCAAACGTTTGTTGATTGGCTGCCCTTCAGCCTTTCAAAACGCTCCATTAAATCGCCAAACACCGAACTCCAACCCGAACATACAGTGATATGTCCGTGTTCGGGTTCGGGGTCCAAAAAACCTAATGTTCATTTCGAACCCGAACTTTACAGTTCGAATTCGCTCAACTCTAATCATATACAGATTTCCTTTTTCAAGGTCTAGAGTTTGGATTTCACATTTTTGCCTTTCGTATAAATATAGAAAACCTTGAACAAGTGGAAAACATATCTTCATTTTTTAACATTTTCTTTTACTTTTACCTTTTCTTAATTGACTTAGATGTTGGTTATAGGTGTATCATATTATTTATATATCAGAAAACACCATAATGTATTAATAATAATTACTTATAACATCAATATTCTTAGCATAAGCAGAATTAAAATTTGTGGCAAACAAGGGTGTAACGGAGCTCCCTGTACTCTGACTGAGTACCCTCCGTTGACGGATGCTCCCCTTCGGGGGGAAGACTAACCAGGTACCTGACTTTCTGTCGGTCAGTGCCTAAGTTAGTCGATTCACCCACCGACCATACGCAAGTGCCAGAGTAGCCCACCCACAATAAACAGTTATTAGAGCAGCCCACCCACAGCAAACAGTGACTGCACCTGGGTATTCCTCTGGGGTGATGGGGCAACACGCTGTGGGGACTTGAGGGGCAGAGGCCAGCGGCGCTCTGCCCTGATGCCAGCGCTTCTGCTGGGAGGAGGGGGGTGCAGGCCAGTCCTGTGACAAGGGGATCGGTAGGGCAGAGGCCAGGGGCGGTCTGCCCTGATGCCAGCTCTTCTGCTGGTATAGCCTGCAGGACATCAGGCTCTGGACAAGGGACAAAGGGAGGGCAGAGGCCGACTGCACTCTGCCCAGCTGCCAGCTCTTCCGCTGGGGGGCTTGGGACATAGTCCGGCTCAGTAGCCAGGGGAACGTGGGGGTCAGTGGGGGTTAACATCTCCCCTGTTAACCCTGGGGCCAAGTTAGGAGTTAGCTGGGGAGGGGAATTCGTACTTACCCCCTCTTCCTGTTGTCCCTGTGAGGGTAGTTGGGGATCTGGACAGGCTGTCCAGCATCCCTGTAGGTCGGGCACAGAGACCACGGTCCCCTCTGCGCCATCTGGGAGATTGGTGTCTCCCCTTGGTAGGGTAAGCTGCCGCTGGGGAGATAGGGTGCTGTGCTCCTCTCCCTGAAACACAGGCTGCCGCTGGAGAGGGAGACCGCCTGTCTCCACTCCCATAACATTGTCCTGCTGCTGGAGAGAGAGACCAACTGTCTCTGCTCCCTGTAGGACACACTGCTGCTGGGGAGGAAGGACGACACCTTCGGCTCCCTGTAACTTGCACTGCCGCTGGGGAGAGAGACCAACTGTCTCTGCTCCCTGTAGGACACACTGCCGCTGGGGGGGAAGGACGACACCTTCGGCCTCCTGGAATTCGCACTGCCGCTGGGGAGGAAGGACGACACCTTCGGCTCCCTGTAACTTGCACTGCCGCTGGGGAGGAAGGACGACACCTTCGGCTCCCTGTAACTTGCACTGCTGCTGGAGACTAGGTGTCCATATCCTCAACCTCCACAGTTGTCGCTCAAAGGCCATTGCCGCACTGTTCTCAGCACTCAACTGGCGCATTACTTGGTGGACCACCTCGTTCGAAAGGTCTGGGCCATAGCAGACCAACCGCCTCTTTACCTCCTCAATGTAAGCGTCGTCCTCGTTGCGACGTATCCTGTTGAGGTGCTCTTCGCAGGGCTCTATCCATCCCTGCTCCATGCTGCTGTAGTTAGGGACGCTGCACAATATTGCCCTCAATAACCTCTCATACGATACCAGTGTCTCCGAGCTGCTTCTCCTCGCACTAGGACGCCATCCCACCGCTGCCACCAATGTAACGGAGCTCCCTGTACTCCGACTGAGTACCCTCCGTTGACGGATGCTCCTAGCGCTTCCTGAGGACTCCAAGCAGTGCAGCAGACAGCACAACCACCGCAGACTCCGCAACCGCCGTAGCTTGACTGGAGTCTCGCCGTCTTCCTTCCACCCTGGATCAGCTTCTGTCCTCCAGGACTGTGTGGGAAAGAACTCTTCCTTCCACCCTGTATGAACCAGCATCCAGGACTGTGTGGTGAAGACCCCTCCTCCAAGGAGAGCGTGTCAGGAACAAGCTCTTAAAAGATCTAAGTGACTCAAGCTCAGGGGAGCATGCAGAGCATAGCAATCCCCAGTGTGATTATAACAGCTCCCTCCAATAACGAGACAAGGCTACGTTTAGAGGGATCAAGAAGAACTGTCAAAACCTTTATTCCCTTGGGACCAGCCAATACAGTCACCACAATAACATTGTTGTGAAACCTCAATAAAATCACAAACAGTCAAACCATATCAAGAAACACACAGTGACTTATCACAACACAATGGCACATTTTTAAAGGGGTGGGGGGAGACAATATTTAACAGTAAATATCTCACCTGCCTGCAGAATTAGCAATATGCAAATCTACCCGAATATGCAAATAAACCAGTCTTGCAATTCAGGTAGTGCATATTGCTGTTGCTACCAACAGAGGGCACTAGACAAGCTCCATAGCCAAACCCACCTAGTTGGTAGCAAACCTCAGCAGTACAGGAGAGAAGGCAATACATTTCACAGTACACACACACACTATAAACAATTACATTACACACACCCTGCACCTATAATGGGTACAGGGTGACTAAAACATAAGATAAATAAAGCAGCCTACATAAATAGTCTGTCTGAAGGTAGAATAGGGGCTTTAAAGGCAAATACATCAAAGAGTCATAGTCACAGGGGAGGAGGCTGGCAAGCAGGCCTCTCCAGTACCAAGTGGCGAAGGGCACTTCGTCACAAAGGGACCCACATTTTAATTACAATTATGTTTGGTGGCTATTAATTTATTCTCCATCTTATACCCTTTAGTTCTCTTTGAATAACTTAAAAATGTGTCTTTCATGCCCCTAAAATCCTGATTCAGCAATGCAAAAATGTCACAATATACTTTATCAGAAGATTTGTCATTATGAAAGCCATCCACCATTCTTAAATTAATGTCCTTTACACTCCCACCCTTCTCAGTGAGAAACAGTCTATTATACTTTTCTTGCTTCAAGATAAGCTTTTTTGTACAACATCCCTTGTACACCATTTCTCAGTGGGTGAGACTCAGACACTCTATCAAATCAATCAAAAATGCTTGCATGAATGAATGTCTTGAAAAAGTCCTTTGAGGTTGAAATGCATAGACACAGAGGGCACTCACATTCCTGCACAGCCTTCAGCTTTTTGGAGATTATTGTAAGTTTAAAGAATACACTTCTCCATGGTTATATCTGTGCTGAGCTCTTTGTTTCCAAGATTGATAAAGTTTTTGCTATTATTATTATGTCTGAGGCGGTGATTCACAGTTTGAAGAGACAGTCTATGAAGAGACCTGCTCTTGGGATGAAAAGCACAATAATCATGACTCTTTCAGTTGCGGATTTTGATCAGACTTGTATAATGGTGCAAATTTGGGTATGGCTACTGCAATTAATTATTTCTTAGGTAATGTGCTTCATTTTAACTTTTCTCTTTTATCTATTAAATCCTTTTTTTTTCCAATGTATAATTGTTATAGAATTTTGTGTCAGCATAACAGTGCAAATAAAGAAATACATGCTTAATAACATTTCATATTCATATTGCGTGGGATTATATATAAGAATTGTGAAAGATTCAAATCATATCCCAATATGTATCATCCTTGCCATACATAGGTATTTTAATGACAGCTTTAACATATGAAACATCATGGCTTGTTCATCATATTATCATGTAAAGTAGAAAGCTCTGATGAGACCTAATGTGAAATATGAAACATTTAGTAGCATTTATCTGCAAAATGTCTAAAATAGACACTTGGGATATAAGGAGAGATTGAAGAGAAAGAGAGGAAAATGGAGGGCACAAAACATAAAAGAAAGATAAATTCTCAACTGCGTTATATCCACCAGTTATTTATAAGGTCCAGCATCGGCCATAGGACTTCTTGTATTAATTACTTTTTTAGACCTGAATTTGCATTTTACACTTTATACACTACTTTGAGTATAAGAAATAGTATCCCACTATTCAAATATGTTTTACATGGTATTGCCCACTGACATTTTTAATTGTTATTTATTTATTATTTTCTTTATAAAATATTTTACCAGGTAGGATACATGGAGATATCTTTCGTTTTCAAGAATGTCCTGGGTCCACAAAACACTGCAGTCGTTACAATTGCGTACAATAAAATACAAAAAAACAATATTAATTCAAAACATATATACAAAATTTAACATGGAATAGGTAAGAGATATACAATCAATCATGACGCGTGCCTTCTGTTTTGAGATATGTAGAGAGGGATCTCTTAAAGGGATTTTAGGCCTGTGGAAGATTTGAAAGTGTGCAGCGTGTTGTGCCATAATTGCGGTGCTCTGTAGGAAAATTGTGGTAAAAAACTTGATTGAAATAGTTAGTTTAATGTAGGGGAATTGGAAAAATCTCAAATTCTGCCATTTTTTGGATCTTGACAAATATGCCCTAAA